TTAACAGTAGTATAAAGTAGAGATCTCAAAAAATGTGCTGAGAAATGGTGGTGGGGGGGAGGGTGTTATTTTTCCAATAATACATTTTTTTAGTACAAGAACATGACAAAAGCATACAGAGTTGCCCACAGAGATGAGCAAAATGATATCTAGATCAACATTACAGGTTAGGATCTCAAATTAGATAATGGCTCTAAAAAAAATATATAGTGTAGATCAGGAACAGAAAATAAAACCAAGACATAAGGCAAAATAAGAAAACAAACAAAAAACAACAAAATAAAACGGGGGAGGGGATTATGTTTGTCCCATGCCAGAGATGGGCCAATTAGGAGTGACTGATAGCCATGCAAATCTCCAGCCTTTGAGATACCTGTCATTAGCTGTGAATGGATAGTCTGTCAGGAAAGAAAGGAAGAAGATCCCACCGCTGACAGAATATTCCATCAAGCAGAGAGGGCACCCACCCTCTCCCATGGAAGCAGGGCATTGAGCCCATAGCTCCGATTCAATGATCTTGGAGTTTTCTTTATTAAAATATATATAGAACTTATTTATTTAAACAAACACCATGTACAGATTAAATATTACCCCTTCGATCTGCATATGAGTGAAACAGAATTACATTGGTTTCTGAAGGACGCTTCTGAACAGTGTTTATGAACGCTGTTTGAAATCTCTGTTTTTGGCAGCAGGGGCTACACCAGCAATGGGCAAACTACGGCCCGCGGGCCGTATACGGCCCGGCGGACCTTTTAATCCGGCCCGCGGAGCTAGGCTCCCCTCACAGTCCGCCCTGAAGACCGGTGTAGCATGAAAATCTGTCTCCTATGAGGATCTGTCCCCCTCGACGTATCTGCGCATGTGCCGGAGAACGCCGATCGGCTGCTAATGCCTGAAACTGGCACATGCGCAGATACGTCGAGGGGGACAGATCCTCATAGGAGACAGATTTTCATGCTACACCGGAACGGCGCGGGACACGGCGAGAGGAACGCGCGGAGCAAAGGTAAGTGAATTGACACAGGGGGGACTTGGGGACTTAATATGGGGGATGAATTAATATGGGGAATGAATTACTATATGGGGGATGAATTACTATATGGGGGATGAATTACTATATGGGGGATGAATTACTATATGGGGGATGAATTACTATATGGGGGATGAATTACTATGGGAGGGATGAATTACTATGGGGGATTAATTACTATGGGGGATGAATTACTATATGGGGGATGAATTACTATATGGGGGATGAATTACTATATGGGGAATGAGTTACTATATGGGGGATGAATTACTATATGGGGGATGAATTACTATATGGGGGATGAATTACTATGGGAGGGATGAATTACTATGGGGGATGAATTACTATATGGGGGATGAAATACTATATGGGGGATGAATTACTATGGGGGATGAATACTGCAGCTGCTGACATTTAATATTAGGGCACTTACTTGTCCAGAGATCCAGTGGTGTCCTCAATCAGATTCTTCAATCAGCTGTCAGGTGCTAGCACCACCATCTTAACTAAGGGAAGCTGGCAATGAAGCCATGAGTCTGCACAGCTGGTTTACTACTGCGCATGAGCGAAACAAGCTGCGCTTTGTGAATGGGCTGCAGTCTTCTGTGACCTGTGATGTGTCCTAGAGGGCTGTGGGGCGGGGGATTATTGGTGAACTCAGCCGTTAGTGGGAACGGGTACCTGTCAAAACCAGGTACCTGCTCCCCCCACCACCACAAAAGGTGCCAAAAAATGCAAAAAAATAAAATCTGAAGAATATATTTTCAAAAATGTATATTTTTAAAAATATATTATTTTTAAATATATTCTTCAGATTTTTTTTTTTAACATATATTTGTAAATGCATTCCAAAAATGTAGATTTGTATTTATAAAGACATTATTTATATATATATACACACACAGTTGTGTTCAAAATAATAGCAGTGTGTTGAAACACGTGACTAAAGCTGAAAATCCTTCTAATTGCTTTTATTTCCATCCACACAAATGCATTGGGAACACGACACATTCTATTCCAAATCACAACATGAAGAAAAATACATCAAATTTGTGTTGTTCCTCTAAAAAAAATTGAAGAAAAGTGAATATTAGACGGTTCAAAAAATAGCCGTGTTTGTATTCTTCTTTACAAACTCAAACATTCACTATATAAACTGAGAAATGTTTGAAGATTTTGCTTTCCTTTGAATGACTTCATGAATATTTGGTTGTAGTCGCACTGTTTCTGAGAACTGCTGTACATCTGTGTTGCATGGAGTTACCCAACTTCTGGCCCCTGTGATCAGGTATTCCAGCCCAGGATGATTGGACCACATGCCACAGTTCTTCTCTATTTCTTGGTTTTGCCTCAGAAACGGCATTTTTGTTGTCACCCCACAAGTTTTCTATTGGATGAAGATCCGGGGATTGGGCTGGCCACCATAACGTCCATCTTGTTGGTCTGGAACCAAGATGTTGCACGTTTACTGGTGTGTTTGGGGTCGTTGTCTTGTTGGAACACCCATTTCAAGGGCATTTCCTCTTCAGCATAAGGCAGCATGACCTCTTCAAGTATTCTGATGTATTCAAACTGATCCATGATCCCTGGTATGCGATAAACAGGCCCAACACCGTAGTATGAGAAACATCCCCATATCATGATGCTTGCACCACCATGCTTCACGGTCTTCACAGCGTACTGTGGCTGGAATTCAGTGTTTGGGGGTCGTCTGACAAACTGTCTCCGCCCACTAGACCCAAAAAGAACAATCTTACTTTCATCAGTCCACAAAATGTTGCCCCATTTCTCTTTAGGCCGGTCAATGTGCTCTTTGGCAGATTGTAACCCCTTCAGCACACGTCTTTTTCCCAACAGTGGGACTTTGCGGGGACTTCTTGCAGATAGCTTGGCTTCACATCGGCGTCTTCTAATTGTAACAGTCCTCACAGGGAACGTCACACCTTCTTTCATCTTCCTGGAGCTGATTGTTGGCTGAGTCCGCCCCATTTTGGCTATTCTTCTATCCATTCCAATGGTAGTTTTTCGCTTTCTTCCACGTCTTTCAGGTTTTGGTTGCCATTTTAAAGCATTTGCGATCATTTTCGCTGAGCAGCCGACCATTTTCTGCACTTCTTTATATGTTTTCCCCTCTCCAATCAACTTTTAATCAAGGTACGCTGTTCTTCTGAACAATGTCTGAAATTCTGAGGAAAATGGGTCGTTCCAGAGAGAAATGCACTGTTACCAGCATGTACAACATTTGCTGCCTTCCTTCCTTAAATAAGGGCAATAATTGCCACCTGTTTTTCAAAGAATGAATGACCTCACTAATAGAACTCCACACGGCTATTATTTTGAACACGCCCCTTTCAATGAGTGATTCAATGACACAGAATCAGCAGCATGCATGTCATGACTGTTGGGTCTGTTGGATTTCTATTACTCTACTACACCTGCTAGGAAATTATTTGCCATGTAGAAATATCATTTCCACCAAAAACAGTGATTGATCCGTTAGTGATGTCTGACTGCTATTATTTTGAACACTACTATGTGTGTGTGTGTGTATATATATATATATATATATATATATATATATATATATATAGCGAGAGAGAGATAAAATTGTAGCATTTCAAATATATTTTTCTTTCATGTGGGAAATTAGGGTTTTTTGGATGCATATGTAGCACACCTAATGTCCTCAACTGGTTAAAGAGCCCTTCCCCTTTGCTTTTTTTTTTGTTTTTTTTACAGTAAATCTAATTACCTTACATTGAGAAGTTGCTGTATAGCAGTGATTGGGTTTGTAGAGAAGTCTGTTCTCTATAATTTGAAAAATGCGTACTGCAGAGGAAAGCTGGAAGAGGACCTTGCTGCACTTCTTCTTTAGAGCTGCCAATCTACCCCTCCCAGTCACACCGTCCTTCCCTTTCCCAGTCACTCTCCTTACTTATTATTATTATTTATATATATATTTCTTTTTTTTTTTTTTTTTTTTTTACTATAAAGGCCAGATAGGAACCTGAAATCATCAATGACATTGTGGTGAAATCTTCTCTACATTGGACACTTCTGTGCAACTGTATCTGTGTGTATACCCTATAGACTTTCATGGGACCTTCTACCAAGGTTGGAGACACCCTACCCTATAGAATTCAGAGGATTGATTGTGCAGGTGCAGCCAGTGCAAAGAAGATCTCACCATTGGTCGTTCCACCCGTTAGGCCAATTTGGGAGGCTGCCTTGGGTGGTGCTCATGAAAGCATGGTTGGTGGGTGGCACTGAGGCCATACTGGTCTCTCTGTCCTCAGTGTATGTTTAGCCCTTGGGCCACATAGCATCATTGATTGGTGTGGTGCAGGCAGCTGGTATGGCCTCATTGCCACCCATTTCGTGCAGCAAAATTGGCCGCCTCAGGTGGCAAAAGCCCTCAGTGCAACCCTGATGAAAGTATAAGTGCATTTTCCTCTAATAAAAATCCTGCGTGTAAGATATCAATGTACATAGAACTGGGTGCCAGGCTGACTTTTTGTGTTGTTCCGTTTGATTGTAACATCTTCTCTTGTCTACCTCAGAATGTCCTTTATTGACCTGGCTGGAAGCGAGAGAGGGCGGCCGATGCCAGGGAATCGGACAAACAAACCAAAATGGAAGGAGCAGAGATAAACCAAAGTCTCCTTGCTGTAAGTGCACATCACCTCATCTCATACAAATGTTAATGGTCGGGGAGATCCATTATTACACTGAACATGCATAGGAGGTTGACCACCAAAGGGCCCCTTCACTCGGTCACTTAGTGCCAGGGATCCATGCTTCAGAGCCTTCGTTACACACCAGATCCTAGGTTTAGATTCCCCAGACTGCTAGTGATACAAGTCCAGGCAGGCGGCATATATCCTATTATGTAGGTAAACCTGTCTGTGTTCACTGATTTAATGAATAATTTGTGTTTTCTCATCAGCTGAAAGAATGTATCCGGGCCTTGGACCAGGAGCAGGCCCACACCCCATTCAGACAGAGCAAACTGACCCAGGTGAGATTGGGCAAAGTGAACTATATTTCATTCCTCACAAAACAAGACCTCTTAGGCAGCAGGGATCTACGATTTTATAGATTGACCATCGTTCTGCTATTTAAAGGAGATTTTATCCCCAAACTATATGACATTTCATTTTCTAAAGCACTCCGTCTATTCTAAAGAAATCACATTTTTTTTCTTGTTTCATGAAATCACTTCATTCACATTCATTTTTTTCCCATCTTAGTTCCGATGATCTGTTTCAGCCATTTCCTGTTTATTTGCACTAACTCCAGATCAGGTAATTGCTTTAAAAGCCTTCCTGACAATGGAGGATGTACCTGCACAATGTGTTGGTACAGCCACTTAAAACAGAGCTCCTCCGAAAAAGGAGAAGTTCCGCTTTATACCCTCCTTACTCCCACTTCTTTACTTAATGACACTTTTAAGGGGGGTAGCTGGTTTTGACAGGTACCCGTTTCCACTTCTGCTCCAACTGCCTTGCCCAGGGGTAGGCAACCTGTTGCTCTCTAGCTGTTGTGGAACTACATTTCCCATGAGGCATTGCAGAGATTACAAAACTGACAGTTACAGCTATGACTTGCAGAGGCATGATGGAACTTGTAGTCCTGCGGCTCTCAGGTTGCCTACCCCTGGCCTAGGCTATCAGAGCAGAAGTTCTTATTCCCCCACCCTCATATGTGACACATGACAAGCCCCAGAAGACTGCGGGACCATTCACAATGTGCAGAGACGCGCACGCATGCGCATTGGGCACCCAGCTGTAACGCTGCACAGCTGGGTGCCCACAGTTGAGATGCCGGGAACAGGACAGCGATGTAAAGAATGGCTCAGGTAAGCACATAGCTGGATCCTGGGACAGGTAAGTGTCTGTTTATTAGAAGTAAGTGGCTACAGTTTTTGTAGCTGCTGACTTTTAATAAACACATTTTGATTGGAGCTCCACCCAAAAGGGGAAGTTCCGCTTTAAAGGACTGCTCACCCGCTCCCATTAAGGATTGGCACCTTTGGAGGGCGGGGGGTGGAGCGGGTACCCAAATTTGACAGGTACCCGCTCCCACTTCCAGTCCAATCGCCTAGGTGATCGGAAACAGAAGGTGTCCTCCCTCCCTCCCTGTAGTCTTTTGGGACACATGACAGGTCCCAGAAGACTACAGGACCATTCATGAAGCGCAGCGCAGTGGGTACCCGGCTATGAAGCCGCAAGCTATCACAGCTGGATGCCTACACTGAAGATGCCGGCCTCCTGGAATCCAGGACGGCCGGTGAAACAGGCTGCGGGGGACACACCACGGGACCGAGGGACAGGTAAGTGGCTGTTTTTTTAAAAGTCAGCAGCTACAGTTTTTGTAGCTGCTGACTTTTATTTTTTTGACAGGGTGAGTGGAGCTCCGCTTTAAAGTCTCCACTAGTATTGCACGTGACAAAGTGACACAAAGGAACACAATTGGGAAACCGTTGTCACCTTATAACAGGAAGTATCTGAACAAAGGACTTCATGGCAGGATCATCAAGTAATCTTTTTAAACGAAAGCTACAGGTTTAAAAAAACCTGAAAACAACTTTGAATTTACAATAAAATGCTAAAATGTTAGCATGAAGACATGTTTTCTGTATCGATAGAACATTTATCACCTCTATCACTATTCTTTCCCACCTAGGTACTAAAAGATTCTTTTATCGGCAACTCAAAGACCTGTATGATAGCTAATGTATCGCCAAGTCACCAGGCAACTGAGCACACACTAAATACCCTGCGCTATGCGGACAGGTAAGTGGTCGCAGATATCAGCCGCTCAACTTTTATCCGTGGCAGCCCTTTGTGGAAACCCATTTTTCCTGAACAGTTGAGCTTGGAGAACCCACAACTGCCAGCCCTCCTGTGTAACTCCAAACTGGTAACCTGTAAAGGCTTTTAAATCGTTGCCGATGGAGATTTTTGGATACTGTTTTTGCTGCCGTTCCACAGGTGTGGGTGATGATTTTTAAGCGTGACATGCTGGGTATCTATTTACTCGGCGTAACATTTGGTATTATATTGTGTTTGTGTTCACTAAAACTCATTACATTTTTTTTCTAAAAATTTGTGTTTGATAAACCACTGCGCAAATATCGTGCAACATAAAAAAATTGCAACAGCAACTATTTTATTTTTCAGGGTCTGTGCGTAAACAAAATACGTATATAATGTCTGGGGGTTCCAAGTAATTTTCTAGCAAAAAATTTATGATTTTTACATGTGTGAGAAAAATATCAGATTTGTCTGGCCTGGAAGTAGTTAAAAAAAGCCAAAACCCAACTAAAGCAGGTCAAAAATAGGTCAACTTCAGAAACTTAAAAAGACCTCAAGAAAGACTCTTCAGTTGGCTTCTTAACCCCCCCTTGCCGTCCGGCCGCTGTATGTAAACGGCCGGACAGTGGCAGTCCAGGAGAGCGGGTTGCTGTTCATTAACGGCGCCTACCATTTTGGACTGTGTGCACTCCCTGGGAGCGCACACCACCGCGATCCGGTGCCCGCTGTGTCCTCCGGACACAGTGGAACACCGATCGTCGTACGGGGACCTCTGTGCGAGGTCCCGATCATGTGATCACTGATTGGCCAATCAGTGATCACATGAAGAGTAGTAAGCAAGATGTCACTTCTGATATCATTGCTTACTACGTGTGAAATCTGAATGATCACAGAGGTCACATGGTACAGGGCTATTCACAACAGCCTTTTGTACCATGTGACAAGCTGTGACCAATCACAGCTCACACAGTAGTTCTCAATGGCTGCAAGAATGCAGCCAGAGAGAAGGAGAAATGATTGCTTTTACACCCATAAAGGCTGTAAAAGCAATCAGTGTAAAAAAAAAAAATATATATATATATATCTTCATCACCCCCCACAGGCAGTACAGTGTCATCATGGTGACACTGTACTGCTAGGGTGACAGTATGTAAAAACGAAAAAAAATCCATAATATAATATAAAAAAGTAAAAAAAAGTTTAAAAATTATAATTTTTTGGTTATAAAACTAATTTGGGTTATTTTATTTTTTTTTTTTTTACTAAAAAGATAACGGAATAAATTTTGGCCAAGATTTATGATTAAATATTATTTATTTGCAAAATTTTATAAGAAAAACACTTTTTTTTCAAAATTTTTGGACTTTTTCATTTACATAACAAAAAAAAATAAAATTCCCAGTGGTGAATAAATACCACCAAAATAAAGCTTTATCTGTCTCAAAAAAATGCTAAAAAATTCATATGGGTACAGTGTTGCATGACCGCGCAATTGTCATTGAAAGTGTGATAGCGCTGAAAGCTGAAAATTGGCCTGGACTGGAAGGATGTAAAAGTGTCCAGACTTGAAGTGGTTAAAAAGACCTCTGTAAAGACTCTTCAGTTGGCTTCTTAAAGCCCAACCTGGAGTTAAAGAATCCGAATACTGCAGATGGTCCAAGCAATCCAAGAGGGCTAGGCAAAGATTTATTTATTTTTTTTTTAGCTAGGATCCTCTATGATTAAGATTCAAAATTAATTACTGGCCTTCTATTTCATTTTCAGGGTGAAAGAGTTAAGAAGAGGAATAAAGAACACCCCAGTTTGCAATAATCGAAGCAGAAGCTCTTGTTTGTCTCCAAAGCGGGTTCAGAATTCATCCTCTGTGCTGGGAGAAAAGATCTCCCCAAAAAAAGTAAAGCTAGGTGCACAGTACTCATCTACCTCAGTTACTGCAAAGGCTAAATCCTGTCCATCTGTCTTCCATCCCACCAACGTCCCCCTATCCTCAACCCCAAAAACCATCATCAGGCCAAACAATGCAAAAGGTTCCCCTAGCCAGGTTTGGCTTGCCCACACCTCTCCAGTGAAAGGTGTCCTCAGAGTGGGACATAATGGTACAAAGAAGTGTGAAAACCAAGACAAGGCTGCTGCACAGGGGAATCCTCAAGATGCTAAATCTGATGTGGAAAGAGAATTCAAAGTTCACTTCAACCACCATCGACACCTAATGCCACGTGTTCAACCTGTACAACCAGTACAGAAACACATTGTCTCAAGGACTGCTGTGCATTTTGGAGAACAGAACCTAAGACCAGTAAATTCAGAGGATAAAGTCCATCAGAAGACTAGCGGTGAGCCAAGTAATCTTCCACAGCAAAAAGAGAGAGAGGAACACTTAAGACATTACCACCAACAGTTCCAAAACCCACCTATTTTCCAACAAAAGCTGCATTATCGACCACTAGAAAAGATCTTGGACCTCTATAAGCCCCAAGAAGTTATTGTTGGCCACATCAACACTTCACATCATGAAGGACTGCCTCTGGAAGACCCTGATGATAGCGATTTTAGCGAAGACTCCTTTTCCTTTGCGTCAGCCCAGAAAAAAGGGAAGAAAGGAGAGTTGGTCCGTGAAAGGCTTTCATTCTTCCTTCACCAGAGTTCTCCGGGAGCAGATGTTAGAAAGTCAGCAGGAAGAGGTCAAGGTTTAAGCTTTAATGACTCTGAATCTCAGGAACAAAAGCAGGGCGTAAGTTGTGACTGTACTGGCAGTTGTGGGTTTTCGGAGCGGAAACCGCAACATGGCCACCAAAACTTATGGGGTTCTGAAGAGGACCCCACCAGTGTATGTGATTCATCAAGTATCAGCGATGCACCAGAAAAGCCATATTCTTCTCAGGAGGAACTCCCAAACCAGCCACAGAAGAAAAGTGAGCTGTTATCCAAGAACAGTCCTCAGACAAACACTTCTAGTGATTTTGTTACAGAACAAGAACCACAGAACAGATCTTCCCCTCTGATTGGTCCTCGAGCAGGAGGAGCCATGTTGAGCAGAGACTGTTATGTAGAAGTGGGGAACAATTCTTCAGACTCCTCATCTGCAGTGATGGCTCCTCTGACTGTATCGCTGCTCCAGGACAACTGGTCTATGGAGTCTGCCCTAGATCTTCAACCTCACAGCTCTCCTAGATCAATGGGTGCTTCAAAGAACGGAAGTTTTGAAAAAGCTTCTACTCTAGAGTCCCAAATCAGTGAACAGTCTATAGAAAAGAATCTCTCGGCCCTTGTGAAGAAAATGCTTTGTTATAATGAAAGTTTACAATTCCAAAATTCTCAGCATGACAAAGAATGGTGCCTGGAAAGCAACAGTGAATGCAAGCCACCTAGCTCGACAAACTCGCCATCCTTTATGGCACATCTTGGATCGTATGATGGAAAGTCCTCAAATTCAGCAAATATGAGACATTCACCAAAGAAAATTGATTTCAGCATCAGTGATTCATCTCTGGACCTTGCAATTTCCAAGTCAAGTGGTCAGATTAGTCGATATGACGCAGATGCTGAGGAAACGGCAGCAAGCCATCAGAGATACTGGGCTTCCCCTGTGGTATTTGGCAGGAAAAATCCTGGCAAAGAAAATGACCAGAAAGCGATTTTATGTCAGTCGCCCTCAGATCCCTTAACTACTTCCAGCACACCATCCGATTGCAACCCGCCTGCTTCATGGAGCCGACGACAAGAGTTGAATGCTGAAGACGCTGGTCTGAGCAGCTTAGAAGACTCGACCAGGTTCCCCTTTAAGGACAGTAAGCTGGAGCATATTAAAAATAAACTCCTGAAATGCATATTAGCCCATCAAGGTAATAAGGAAGACGAGATAAGTCTCAGGAATGAGAAGAACTCCAAAAGCAAAACCACATCAAGCGGTCAGTTAACATTATCCCAAGTGACCAGCGAAAGCACGAGAGAGCTTGAAACCGCACAGTAAGTGGACTGTAGAAATAAAGCCCGGTGCTTAGGTTTTTTTTTAATTTTTTTTTTTTAATTTTATCTTGTTTTTTGTTGATTGTGGTGTTCCGACCTCTTGGTTTTCTTTAAGGGTGAAACAATTTATGGTTCGAAATTATTACATGTATTTATAAGTGTGGCTAGTACCTGTAATTCCTCTGCTAAGTGGGATCAAGAGGTGTACTATAAACTAAATGTAGAATGTCCACAGAGATGACCTCATAAGTCTACTGCTGCAATTCTTTCATGGTCCAGTCACTCGGTAGAGGGTGCATTCATGACTGATATGTGCAGTACAAATCAAGGGCCTAACTGTGCTGCCTGGCAGGCATACCTGGATCACTCTGTGCAAAGAAACAAACAGAGGTGGGAGATTGGGGAGAGAGGGACCCACTTAAATCAATGGTCATTGAGTGAAGGGCCCCATTCTTCTCTCTGTCCACCAGTGTATCGGGGCCCTTCACCAAATGACAATCTATTTTAACTGGGGCCTTCTCCCACCTATCTAAGGAGCCCTTCTTCTCTGACCACCAGTATAAGAGAACATTTCACTGGCTACCAATGTAAGAGAATATCCACCTCCGCAACATCTCCAAGATACGATCGTTCCTAACCTCGAAACCACTAAGCAACATATTCACTCCTCAGTTATATCTCGCCTTGACTATTGTAACTCCCTCCTCATTGGCCGACCTCGCAGGCTATCCCCTCTTCAGTCTATCATGAATGCTGCTGCCAGACTCAACCACCTTACTAACCGTTCTGTATCTGCTACCCCTCTATGCCAATCCCTCCACTGACCTCCACTCAGTGTCCTCCACCCCTCTATGCCAATCCCTCCACTGACCTCCACTCAGTGTCCTCCACCCCTCTCTGCCAATCCCTCCACTGGCTTCCATTCAGTGTACTCCATCCCTCTCTGCCAATCCCTACACTGGCTTCCACCCCTCTCTGCCAATCCCTCCACCCGTCTCTGCCAATCCCTCCACTGGCCTCCACCCCTCTATGCCAATCCCTCCAATAGCCTCCACCCCTCTATGCCAATCCCTCCACTGGCCTCCACTCAGTGTCCTCCACCCCTCTCTGCCAATCCCTCCACTGGCCTCCACTCAGTGTTCCCCACCCCTCTCTGCCAATCCCTCCACTGACCTCCACTCAATGTCCTCCACCCCTCTCTGCCAATCCCTCCACTGGCCTCCACTCAGTGTTCCCCACCCCTCTCTGCCAATCCCTCCACTGACCTCCACTCAATGTCCTCCACCCCTCTCTGCCAATCCCTCCACTGGCTTCCCATTTCCCAACAGATAAAATTCAAAACACTAACATTAACGTATAAAGCCATTTATAACTCTGCCCCAAATTACATCACCGATCTCTCCAAATATCACCCAAACCGTCCTCTCCGCTCCTCGCAAGACCTCCTACTCTCTAGCTCCCTTGTCTCCTCCTCCCATGCTCGTCTCCAGGACTTCTCCAGAGCTTCCCCCATCCTCTGGAACTCTCCACCCCAATTTATCAGACTATCGCCTACTCTGCTCACTTTTAGGCGATCTCTGAAAACCTCTCTCTTCAGGGAAGCCTATCCTGCCCTCAGCTAATAATGGAATCTTCTACTCTTCCAAACAGTCCATCCCCCCACAGTTACTACCTTTTGTATCACTAGCCCCTCCCTCCTAGATTGTAAGCTCCAAGGAGCAATGCCCTCAAATCCCTCTTGTATTGAACTGTATTGTCCCCCGTTTTATTGTAAAGTGCTGAGCAAACTGTTGGTGCCATATAAATCCTGTATAATAATAATAATATTTCACTGGCCAAATGTAAGAGAACAATGTAAATGAGAAACATTTCAATAACTCTTCTATTGGTGGTCAGAGAAGAAGAGGCTCCTTAGATTGGTGGGAGAAGGACCCACTTAGTATACTCACAAAAGAATAAAATCAAAGGCACGTCACAAAAAAAGACAGCATGGTCCAATCTCCCTAGATGGTGGCTGTTGGGGGACTGTAGGCCTCCAAATGGTTGACTTGTTTCGAGGCAGAACCTCTTCCTCAGAGCCTGGATCACTAGACCAACTGATTACAAAATCGCTTGATATGTAAACTGTGCCCATACATGTATCTCTATATTTGGCTGCTTGCCTGGAATATAGCCAAGTCATCCCATAAGTGTTCAATAGGGTTGAGGTCTGGACTGGGTGCAGACCACTTGGGTTCCTCCACACTACACTCATCACACCATGTCTTTATGGAATTGGCTTTGTACCCAAAAGCACAGCCAGGCTGGAACAGAAAAGGTTTTCCTCAAACTGTTGCCATAAGTTGACTATGCATAAGGTCGTGTTTGACTGAAACACGTTCACCTTTTTGCCGATCCTATATGATTTGTTTCACTGGTTCAGCGGATGGAAACCGCAGGAGCCGCATGGTGACATACATACTCCTTATGAAAAACATGCTATGAGGGCTGCAGCACCTATTCTTTGTATGTGTGACTTGGAGCAGAAAAGGATCTTCCTCAAACTGTTGCCATAAGTTTGGAAGAGCACAAATGTCTGAAGTATATTTGTATGCTGCAGCATTAGCTGCTTCCTGCCCGGTCTATAGATAAAAGATGGCCGAGAGGGAGCTTTCTTGTTCTGGGTGGGCGTTTATATGATTTCCTTCAAGTCGCGCACCTCGTGCTTTCCCTTGCGGCAGCACTTCAGTCTGTCCATGGGATACAGCGGATGACAGATCATTGCACCGGTACAGGTTAGTCCCGGTACCATGTGATCGCTATAACTAATCACATCGATCAAATGACATTTGTACATCAGAAATGGCTTTCATTCATAGCCATTCATTATGTACTATTGTGATGATCTGTGTGGTTGGTCACAGTGATCACATGGTACAGACATGGCCAATCACTGCGCATATATAATATGTGATAGCTGTGGCCAATCACAGCTCGCACAATAGTACATACTGGCTTTGAATGGATGCCATTCATAAAAATGATTGCTTAGAACAGTGATGA